AGAACCTGAGAATCCCATAACCCAGAATCCCCAAATCCAAAAATCCCAGAATCCAGGATTCCAGAACCTCAGAATCCCAGAATTTTGGAATCCAAAATCCTGTATTCCCACAATCCCAGAACCCCAGGTTCCAAACCCCACAATCCCAAACCCCAGAATCCCAGAACCCCAGAAACCTGTAATCCCATAATCCAGGACCCTAGAATCTGAGAATCACGGAATTCAAAACTCTGTAATCCCAAAACCCCTGAACCCCGTAATCCCAGAATCTCAGAATCCAAAATCCCGTATTCCCACCACCCAGAATCCCATAATCCACAATCCAGAACCCCAGAATCCCAGAAATCCAAATGCCAGAACCCCATAATTCCAGAGCCTCAAAACCCCATAAACCCAGAACCTGAGAATCCCAGAACCCAGAATCCCCAAATCCTAAAATCCCAGAATCCAGGATTCCAGAACCCCATAATCCCAGAATTTCAGAATCCGAAATCCCGTATTCCCACAATCCCAGAACCCCAGGTTCCAAACCCCAGAATCCCAGATCCCAGAATCCCAAAAACCTGTAATCCCATAATCCAGAATCCTAGATCCTGAGAATCACGGAATTCAAAACCCCGGAATCCCAAAACCCCTGAACCCCGTAATCCCAGAATCTCAGAATCCAAAATCCCAGAATCTCAGAATCCCAAATCCCATATTCCCACCACCCAGAATCCCATAATCCACAATCCAGAACCCCATAATTCCAAACTCCAGATCCTGGAATTATTTACGTTGGAAAACCCCTCCAAAGTCACCGAGGCCGTCCCGTGCCCGGTCCCCACCTTGTCCCCAACCCCACATCCCGAAATTCCCAGGACACCTCCAGTGGTTGACGACCCCCAACACTTCCCTGGGAATCCCATCCCGAATTCCAACGGAATTTTCACGCCGGGATGAGACAAACCGATAGACCCCGATGGGTTTGGGTTCGGTGCTGAACACCAAAAACCCCAAAAGCGGAGTTTGGGGTTTGGGCTGTCTCCCGTTCATCCCTTGGGAAGGGCTGGCATTCCTGCTTTTTTTTTGGGAATGATTTCAGCTTCCAGGCCCGGATCGTTCTGCTTTTTCTGGAAAACCTCCGGGGAGCGACAAGAATGGCCGGAAGCGCCGTCGTTCCCTCCCGGAGGAAACGGCCCTTCCCGGCCCCACAACCGCGGCCTTGGAATTGTTCCCGGCTGGAAAAGCTCCCGGGAATCCGGGATGGGGCCCGCGGGGTCTCCCCGCCGCGCTTCCCGATCCTTCGGAAAATCCCGTTGGGATGGGAGATCCCGGAGATGTCCCCAGTGGCCTTGGGGACAATGGGGGGTGACGGTTTTTACGGATCCGTGGATGAGTTTGGTTTTCATGGAAAAACTGGGCCTGATTTGGGTTTTTTTTTTGCCCCCTCAGGAATTTTCTGGAAAATTAGGGTTGGGATGGGAATAAGAAGGTCGGGATTCTTGGGAATGTCAGAGTTGGGGTGGGAGCAAGAATCCCAAAACGCAGAATCCTTGGGTTAGATTGGGAAGAAGAATTCCAGGATCCTTGGGAATGTCAGGGTTGGCATGGGTACAAGAATCCCAGGATCCAGAATCCTTTGGGATTTGATTGTTGGGATGGGAACAAGAATTCCAGAACCCAGAATCCTCGGGAATGTCAGGTTTGGCATGGGTACAAGAATCCCAGGATCCAGAATCCTTTGGGATTTGATTGTTGGGATGGGAACATGAATCCCAAAACCCAGAATCCTTTGGGATTTGAGGGTTGGGATGGGAACATGAATCCCAAAACCCACAATCCTTTGGGATTTGAGGGTTGGCATGGGTACAAGAATCCCAGGATCCAGAATCCTTGGGAATGTCAGGGTTGGCATGGGTACAAGAATCCCAGGATCCAGAATCCTTTGGAATTTGATTGTTGGGATGGGAACAAGAATCCCAGGATCTTCGGGAATGTCAGGGTTGGGATGGGAACAGGAATCCCAGGATCCTTGGGAATGTCAGGGTTGGGATGGGAACAGGAATCCCAGGATCCAGGATCCTCGGGAATGTCAGGATTGGGATCCTGATCCATCCTGGACCACCGGCACAATTCCTTCCCTGTGCCGAGCTGAATTTCTTGGTGCCGATGAAAAACTCAGGAATCTTTTCCCAGCAGCATCCCACTTCTCTTCCAGCGCCTCTGGAATCGCTGGATGCGCATTCCCAGGGCTGGAATTCCATCAGGCCTTGCCTGAGGCCTGAGGAAGGGTTGGAGAGCAGGAAAATCCCTCCCGGCGCTGCCGTGACCCCCGGAGCCAGCCCGGGAGCGCCTCCGCCTCCGGAATCTCTGGATCCGGCTGGGAATTCTCTCCTTGGCGCTTCCTGCCAGGCAGGGAAGCGTTTCCTCCCCTTCGGAAAATCCCACGGGATTTTCCACTCCTGCTCAGGATGTCGCGGCTCTTATCTCGCTCCCCTCTCCTTTCCCAAATCCTGAGGTGGCGATTCCGCCTTTTCCTCCCCCTTCCCGCCAGTTTTCCTCCCCATTCCCGCCAGTTTTCCTCCCCCTTCCCGCCAGTTTTCCTCACCCTCCCGTTTCGGGTTTTCCTGGGATTTGTGTTTTATGGGAAGCTCAGGTCGGGAAGGCCTGGGCTGCTCCCAGCATTTCTCTGGCTCTGGAGCAGCCAAAATCCGGGATTTTGGGATATTCCCGCTGGGAAGGAGCTTCTGGGGGTGTTTTCCCTCATCCCAAAACCAGGATTCCCACAGGGAGCTTGGCTGTCCCTGCGGGCAGAGCATTCCATGGATATTCCCGGGAATCTTCCTGCAGCTCCTATAAAACCCAGCGCCACTTTCTTGTCCCCAAAAGTGACCCCAAAGCTGTGACAGCTGCTCCGGCCCCTCGGGAATTCCGCCAGCGTCATTTTCCACGACTTTTCCAGGTGCAGGAAGGAGGAGACCTTGGGAAACATTCCCAGAATTCCGGCCAGGAGTTTTGGGGCACAAAGGGCAGCCTGGGCACGGCCTTTTCCCAATTTTCCCGTCCTTTTTCCGCCCTTTTCCCCCCCCTCCCCGGCTCCCGGCAGCTGCGGCGCTGGGAGAATTCCCAAGCCATGCATTTTTAATTCCCGAAGAAGCAGCAGCCATTTCAGCGCCGGCTCTGGCGGCGGCGAGCGGTGCCAGAGGCTCCCTGGATATTCCCATGGGCTGGATGCCATTCCCGAATTTCCGGGCTGGAGGTGGGCCCCGGCCACGAGGAGGAAGGAAAAGGGGAGATCCACCCCCCGTGAGGGGATATTTAGGGATGGTGGCACCGAGGGGAGGGTGGGAATGGGATGGGAGAGGATCCCGCTGATCCGGAGTGGGAAAAGTGTGGGAAGAGCCACGCTGATCCGGAGTGGGAAAAGTGCTGGAGAATCCCATTGATCCAGGGTGGGAAAAAGTGGAGGATCCCACTGATCTGGGGTGGGAAAAGTGCTGGAGAATCCCACTGATCTGGGGTGGGAAAAGTGGAGGATCCCACTGATCCGGGGTGGGAAAAGTGTGGGAAGAACCCCATTGATCCATGGTGGGATCAGTGCTGGAGAATCCCACTGATCTGGGGTGGGAAAAGTACTGGAGAATCCCATTGATCCAGGGTGGAAAAAGTGGAGAATCCTATTGATCCAGGGTGGGAAAAGTGCTGGAGAATCCCATTGATCCAGAGTGGGAAAAGTGGAGAATCCTATTGATCCGGGGTGGGAAAAGTGCTGGAGAATCCCACTGATCTGGGATGGGAAAAGGGGAGGATTCCCATTGATCCAGGCTCAGAAAAGTGGAGGATCCTATTGATCCGGGGTGGGAAAAGTGCTGGAGAATCCCACTGATCTGGGGTGGGAAAAGTGTGGGAAGAACCCCATTGATCCATGGTGGGATTGGTGCTGGAGAATCCCACTGATCCAGGGTGGAAAAAGTGGAGGATCCCATTGATCTGGGGTGGGAAAAGTGTGGGAAGAACCACGCTGATCCCGGGTGGGAAAAGTGGAGGATCCCATTGATCTGGGGTGGGAAAAGTGGAGAATCCCACTGATCTGGGGTGGGAAAAGTGCTGGAAAATCCCATTGATCCAGGGTGGGAAAAGTGGAGGATCCCGCTGATCCAGGGTGGGAAAAGTGGAGGATCCCACTGATCCAGGGTGGGATTGGTGCTGGATGATCCCGCTGATCCGGGGTGGGAGAAGCATCCATGGTTCCCGCTGATTCCTGGGATGTTCCCTGGGGCTCTCACTGGGACAGCATGGGATGAGGATGGGCTCCCCTGGTGGGAATTCTTGGGAAGAGGATGGGTTTGTGTGTCAGGAATTCCTGGGATGAGGATGAGTTCCTGTGGCAGGAATTATCGGGATAAGGATGGGTTTGTGTGTCAGGAATTCTCGGGATAAGGATGAGTTCCTGTGTCAGGAATTCTCAGGAAAAGGATGGGTTTGTGTGTCAGGAATTCTTGGGAAGAGGATTTTTTTCCTGTGGCAGGAATTCTTGGGATAAGGATGAGTTCCTGTGGCAGGAATTCTCAGGATAAGGATGGGTTCCTGTGGCAGGAATGCTCGGGATGAGGATGGGTTTGTGTGTCGGGAATTCTCAGGATAAGGATGGGTTTGTGCATCAGGAATTCTTGGGAAGAGGATTTTTTCCTGTGGCAGGAATTCTCGGGATAAGGATGGGTTTGTGTGTCAGGAATTCTCGGGATAAGGATGAGTTCCTATGTCAGGAATTCTCGGGATAAGGATGAGTTCCTGTGTCAGGAATTCTCGGGATGAGGATGGATTTGTGTGTCAGCAATTCCCAGAACACGGAATTTTGACTTCCTTGTGGCACCAGCGATGCCCTTCCCTGTCCCTGCTGTCCCTTTCCTGGGAATTCTCCCGTTCCCGCCCTCCTGCCGCCCCCGGTGCCTGTGGATGCATTCCCAGCGTTCCGAATCCCGGGAATTCTCTGAGCTGTCCCCTCTGTGTCCCCACAGGTGGATGAGGAGGGAGCGCTGTGAGCCCGGCCCGTGACTCTCCTGCCAGGTGAGCCTTTCCCGGGATCCGGCCGGGAATGCGGGATGGGAATGGCCCTGGGATGGGGGATCCAGCTGGGAATGGGGGCCGGGAATGGCCCTGCAGCCCCTGGAGTGGGAAATCCAGCTGGAATGGCCCTGGGATGGGGAATCCAGCCGGGAATGAGGGCTGGGAATGGCCCTGGAATGGGGAATCTGGCCAGGAATGGCCCTGGAATGGAGAATCCAGCCAAGAATGGGGGCTGGGAATGGCTCTGGAATGGAGAATCCAGCCGGGAATGAAGGCTGGGAATGGCTCTGGGATGGAGAATCCAGCCGGGAATGTGGGCTGGGAATGGCCCTGGGAATGGGGGATCCAGCCAGGAATCACCCTGGAATGGAGAATCCAGCTGGGAATGTGGGCTGGGAATGGCCCTGGAATGGGGAATCCAGTGGGAATGTAGGATGGGAATGGCCCTGGGGTTGGAAATCCAGCTGGAATGGCCCTGGAATGGGGAATCCAGGCCAGGAATCTCCCTGGGGTGAGAGATCCAGCCGGGAATGGCTCTGGGGTGGGGAATCCAGCCGGGAATGAGGGCTGGGAATGGCTCTGCAGCCCCTGGAATGGGGAATCCAGCCGGGAAACTCCACTTGGGATCAGGGATGTGGAGATGAGGGCGGGAATGAGACTGGGAAAAGCTGGGAAAAGCTGGGAAAGGCTCGGAGTGGTCACTGCAGGCAGGATGGGAGTGGGAAAAACTGGGAAAGGCTGAGAAAAACTGGGAAAGACTGGGAAAACCAGAAAAACTGGGAAAGGTTGGAAAAGGCCGGGAAAACCTGGAAAAGACTGAGCTCAGAGCGGTCCCTGCAGGCAGGAACAGGAATGGGAAAGGCTGGAAAAGTTGGGAAAAGCTGGGAAAGGCTGGGAAAGGCTGTCAGGGCTCAGAGCGGTCCCTGCAGGCAGGAACAGGAACGGGAATCACAGAGAAATTCCAGGAACTGGGGCAAAATCCCGGGAACCAAGGAGAAATCGTGGGAATAAACTCCCACCTTCTTGCAGGGGAATCAGGGGGGAATTCCAGGAATCAGGGGGAAATTCCGGGGATCACTGAAAAATTCCAGGAGTCGCAGAGAAGTTCCCTGTTCCAGTTCCAATCTGGATCCCAATCCCAATCCTGATCCCAGTCCCAATCCCAATCCCAAACCAGCCGCAGGCCCTGCTGCTGTTCCCACCTGGAGCTGGGAATTGTTGGGATTTGGGATTCCAGCTCCTGTCCCCCAGGCTGATCCCATCCCATGGATCCCATCCCATCCCATCCCAACCCAACCCATTTCTAAACCACTCCCGACCATTCCCAAACCATTCCCAAATCATTCCAAACAACTTCAACCCATTCCCAACCCATTCCCAACCATTCCAAACCATTCCAGACCATTCCCAACCATTCCCAGCCATTCCCAACCATCCCAGGCTGTTACCAAACCATTCCCAACCCATTCCCAACCCATTCCCAACCCATTCCCAACCCATTCCCAATCCATTCCCAACCCATTCCAAACCATTCCCAACCATCCCAGGCTGTTCCCAAACCGTTCCCAAACCGTTCCCAAACCATTCCCAAACCATTCCCAAACCTCTCCCAAACCATTCCAAACCATTCCAGGACATTCCCAAACCATTCCCAGTCAATCCCAACCGTTCCCAAACCTCTCCCAAACCATTCCCAAACCATCCCAGGCTATTCCCAAACCATTCCCAAACCATTCCCAGTCAATCCCAACCATTCCCAAACCTCTCCCAAACCATTCCCAAACCATTTCTGGCCATTCCCAAACCATTCCCAAATCATTCCCAGTCAATCCCAACCATTCCCAAACCATTCCCAGTCAATCCCATCCATTCCCAAACCTCTCCCAAACCATTCCAGATCATTCCCAAACCATTCCCAGTCAATCCCAACCATTCCCAAACCATTCCCAAATACCCCAAACCATTCCCAACCCATTCCCAACCATTCCAGATCATTCCCAAACCATTCCCAAATACCGCAAACCATTCCCAAACCTCTCCCAAACCATTCCCAACCATTACAGATCATTCCCAAACCATTCTCAGTCAATCCCAAACCATTCCCAAACCATCCCAAACTTTATTCCAAACCATTCCCAGCCCTGTTTTGCCGCTCCGGGTGCTGCAGGCGCTTCCCTGCCGGCTGTGGGAGGGAATGTGGGAATGTGGGAATGTGAGAAATGTGGGAATGTGGGAGCTTTCCCAAGCTGTTCTCCCTCTGGAATGCGTCTGGAGTCTCACGCCAGTGCCAGACTTCCGACAGGGTGACAGCGCCATTCCCTGATTCCCTGGATTTCTCCCTGATTCCTGGGATTTTACCCCAATTCCCAGAATCTCTCTGTGATTCCCAAAATTTCTCTGTGATTCCTCAGATATCTCCCCAATTTCTGGGATTCTTTTCCCCCCAAATTCCCGGAATTTATTTTGCTACATGGAATTTCTCTGTGATTCTCATAACTTCTCCGAGATTCCTGAGTTTTCTCCATGATTCCTGGAATTTCTCTGTGATTCCTGGGATTTCTTCCTGATTCCCAGAATTTCTCCTTGATTCCCGAGATTTTTGCCCAGATCCTGGGATTTCTCTCTAATTCTTGGATTTCCCCCTGATTCCCATAATTTCTCCCTGATTCCCAAAATTTCTCCCTGATTCCCAGAATTTCTCCCTGATTCCCACGATTTCTCCTCAATTCCTGGGATTTTGCCCCAAATCCTAGAATTTCTCCATGATTCCCATAATTCCTCCCTGATTCCTGTCATTTCCCTCATGATTCCCAGAATTCTTCCCCGATTCCTAGAAATTCCCCAATTCCCAGAATTTCTCCATGATTCCCATAATTTCTCCCTGGATTTCTCCTTGATTCCTGGGATTTTGCCCCAAATCCTAGATTTTCTCCACGATTCCCATAATTCCTTCCCAATTCCTGTCATTTCCCCCATGATTCCCAGAATTTCCCTGATTCCCAGAATTTCTCTCCGACTCCCGGATTTCTCCACAATTCCTGGGATTTTGCCCCAAATCCTAGAATTTCTCCACGATTCCCATAATTCCTTCCCGATTCCTGTCATTTCCCCCATGATTCCCATAATTTCTCCCCAATTCCCATAATTTCCCCCTGATTCCCATAATTTCTCCCCGATTCCCGCAATTTCTCCGCGATTCCCGAAATGTCTCCGACTCCCAGGAAATCCCCCCGACTCCCGGATTTCCCGGGCGTTTCCCGGGATCCCGGCTCGGGATTAGGGTCGAGCAGATGGAGCGCTGCTGATCCCATTAACGGGGCCGGTTTGGGGGGGGCCGCGCCGTTCCCGGATTTCCCGGGATGTTTTTCCCGGCTGGAAAATCCCGGATCCAGCTCTGGCCGGTTCCAACCCCTCGGGCAGCGCGGAATTCCCGGGAATAGGTGAGATCCAACCGCTGGGATGGGCTCTGGAGGGGGTGGCAGCGACGCTTCCATAGAATCCCTGGAAATTCCCGTTTTTTGGGGACAGGACGGTCCCCGCCAGGGTCACCCCAGGCCTGGCAGTGCCACCAGCGGGATTTCCCGGGATGAGAGCGGGAATTGTGGCAGCTGCCAGCGCTGTCCCCGTGTCCCTGGTGGCGTTTGGGGACTCTGGAATTGTCCCCGATCCATGGGAATGTCGGTGCTCCAGGGGACATTTGGGGCTGTCCCCATCCCGGGATCTGCGGGATCCTGGAGTGCTCCAGCCCTGGCAGGGATTTCCTGTGTCCCCTACGAGCACGGCCCTGTCCCCTCTGTCCCCATTCCTGTCCCCTCTGTCCCCATTCCTGTCCCCTCTGTCCCCATTCCTGTCCCCTTTGTCCCCTTTATTCCCCCTGTCCCCCCGTTCCTCTCCCTCTGTCCCCTCTGTCCCTGTCCCCTGTGTCCCCATTCCTGTCCCCTTTGTCCCCCTTGTCCCCCCATCCTCTCTGTGCCCCCTGTGCCTGTTCCCCTGTCCCTGTCCCCATTCCTGTCCCTCTGTCCCTGTCCCCATTCCTGTCCTCTTTGTTGCTGTCCTGTCTGTCTCCATTCCTGTCCCCATTCCTGTCCCCTTTGTCCCTGTCCCCCTGTCCCCATCCCTATCTCCCTCTTCCTGTCTCTCTGTCCCCCTGTCCCTCTGTCCCTGTCCCTCTGTCCCCATTCCTGTCCCTCTGTCCCCCCATTCCTCTCCTTCTGTCCCCCTGTTCCCATCCGTCTGTCCCTGTCCCCATTCCTGTCCCCTCTGTCCCCCTGTCCCCGTCCGTCTGTCCCTGTCCCTCTGTCCCCATTCCTGTCCCCCCTATCCCTCTCCCCCTGTCCCCTCTGTCCCTATTCCTGTCCCTTTTGTCCCCTTTATCCCCCCTGTCCCCATTCCTGTCCCTCTGTCCCCTCTGTCCTGCTGTCCCCTCTGTCCCTCTCTCTCCCCACCCTTCTGTCCCTGTCCCCCCTCTCTGTCCCCTCTGTCCCTCTGTCCCCGTCCCCATTCCTGTCCCCTTTGTTGCCGTCCTGTCTGTCTCCATTCCTGTCCCCATTCCTGTCCCCCTGTCCCCATCCCTGTCCCCCTGTCCCCATCCCTGTCCCCAATCCTGTCCCTCTGTCCCCATCCCTGTCCCTCTGTCCCTGTCCCTCTGTCCCCATCCCTGTCCCTCTGTCCCTGTCCCTCTGTCCCGCGGTGGCGCGGCGCGCGTGGCGCTGCGGTTTCCATGGCGACGGTGCCGGGAATGTTCCCATGGATACGGAGCGGGGGGGGGACAGTCCCGGATCGGGGGGACAGTCCGGGATCGGGGGGACAGTCCCGGATCGGGGAGGTGACGGGGAAGGCCCCAAAATCTGTCCTGTCCCCAAATCTGTGTCCTGTCCCCAAAATCTGTGTCCTGTCCCCAAATTTCCCTCCTGTCCCCAAAATCTGTGTCCTGTCCCCAAATCTGTCCTGTCCCTAAATCTGTGTCCTGTCCCCAAAACCTGTGTCCTGTCCCCAAATCT